TGGAGTGTTGTGGGGATCGAACTACAGCAAACTGAGGCTGCCAGCATTGTGGAAGCAGCCACTTAAAGAACTGAGCTAGGGCTGGGCCCCCACAACTGTCTTTCTCTCCCTCTCTTTTTTTTTTTTTTTGTATTTTAGTACAGGGTCTACAGGGTCTCACTATGTAGATCTGACCCCTAGTGATCCACCTGTGTTCAGCCTCCCGAGACCTGGAATTACAGGAAGAGCAACTATGCCCAGTCTGAATGGCCCAGTAGTTGGGGCCAGCACAGCAGGGCGGGGATCAAACCCTGGTCCCTGTGTCTGCCTAAGCAGGCTCTTTAATCAGCTGAGCTATTTGGCCAGCCCTCTTCTCATTTTTTAAATTGCCGAGGCTTGGCTCAAACTTACAGTCTCCTTCAGCCTCCTAGACTACTAGGATTTTTTTTTTAAATGATATTAAATGTTTATTTATTTATTTATTTTGGTAGAACCGGGGATTGAACTCAGGCCCTTACGCTTGCCAGGGAAGCGCTTATTCCACTGAGCCATCTTTGTAGATGTCAGCCACCACACCTGCCTAGCAGCATAATTCTTTACACTTCTCAAATTTGGCAAAGAAAGGAATATATTGGGATAAAGAACATAGGAAAATAGGATTTCGGGACCGGGGAGATAGCACAGTAGAATAAGCACTTGCCTGGCAAGTGCAAGGGCCTGAGTTCAATCCCCGGTCCCGCCAAATAATAAAAAAATAAATGAGGCCTGGGAGATGGCTCAGTAGAATAGCGCTTCCCGGGCAAGCGCCGGGGCCTGAGTTCAATCTCCAGTTCCACCAAAAAAAAGAAAAATAGGATTTCATCCTAATGCTAATTCATTTATATTCAGATTTGTATTGAATTTCTACTCTTAGGTGAGAGGATTTAGTAATACAATGGGCATTATAGATAAAACGTAAGGATTATAAGAGGGATGCACAGCTATTAGAGAAGACAATATGGTTGTGTATTTCATTGTTTCTAACATAAGCCATTAGTAGAGATTATTTTATAGTGATGTCACTTTGTAGGTGTTTACTGTAGTCAGATACTTTTGAATATGAGTACTCATAAAAAAATTCTACTTTATTATATTTAATTTATTTCTTGAGACAGGGTTTTATTCTTAATTCAGGTTGGCTGTGAACTTACTGTGTAAGCCGCGTTGACCTTGAATTTATACCATTCCTGCCTCAGCGTACTAAATGTTGGGATTATAGGTGCGCTACCACACCTGGTGAAAATCCTAATTTATAACATTACTATGTACATAATGAATTGCTGTCTGTACATAGCTTATAGAAATTTCAAGATTAAATCAGGTATGAAAGTATGACTTGCTGAAAATTATTTTTAAATGTTTTGTCTGAGAATATTAATATGGAATTTTCAGAATTTCGAATGTGTATGCTGTTAAATTACATGTTATATCCTATTATAAAACTTGAAAATAATTTTAATATTCAGCATAAGTAGCTTCTTTGTAATCTGAAGTTATTTTAATATATTCACCATCCTAAAATTACCAAGAAATGTTGGATCATTTAAAACCTAACACCAGACATTTTGAGTTATTACATATTACTGAGTTATTAAATGATTATTTTGGCTATATACGTCTGCATGAATTGGTAATCTTTTCTAAAGGGGTTTAATAATAAGTATTTTTTACTATGGGCCATAGATGAGATATGATTAAGAAAAGTTCGATGTTCAATTTTAAAATTATTTATTAATAATAATTTATTATCAAGGTCAACATGCCATTAATTCCCATCAAAATGCTACCCTTGACTTCAAACACTTTTCCCATTATTCTTCCACTTTCTCGAGCAGTTCTGGAAGCCCTCTTTCTTACTTTTAGTTGTACGCTTATATTGCCTTGGTGTTCTTAATCAGTTTAAAACTCTAACCTTTCATGGTCATTTTGACCTGGCAAGAGCCAGAAGATATGTAGTGCCGGATTTGGGGAATAAGGCAGATGACAGCGTAGTTGTGATGGTGGATAAAACTACTCATCCATTCTCAGGAATTTTCTATGTATACCCATCATTTCCCAAATAAACCCTTAGAATATTCAGAGTTAACCGTGGCATTCCTGGGTACAAATTCAGCTTGCATAATTCGTCAGAGTCAAAAAACCCCTACAGTATCGCATTGATACTACATCATGATTGGTGGGCCTTTTTGTATGAGAACTGTATGACTTCTACTGAGAACTCTGTAATTTGGTCTCATGATCTTAGCCATAGACCTGAGTTTCATTTTCTGTGTTGATATTTCTTTATAGGTAAAATATGAAGTGGCATGATGACATGACTAATGAACTGTTCCATGATTTACAGCACACTGTAGGGTACCTTTTTTGAGCTGTAGCTAAAAAATGACAAAACTGCTGCAAACATGTTGAAGCTCGCTGTACACTGTTAGTAAGGCTTGACTCTCATATTAAAGTTGGCCGGCACTTGACAGCACCATTACCTTACCTTTGGGTCACACCTTTGTATTCTCTGTCTCAGCTCCTGTGTTGTTTTAGCATAAAACCAGCCATAGATAATAGTAAATGCTTGAACCTGCCTGTGTTCTAATATAACTTTAAAAAAACAGACTAAATTTTGATCTGGTGCCATGGTTTGCCGCTCTATGGTCTAGGAAGAGTTAAGAGTAATTGCTGAAATTAAATTATTACAAGTTATTGCTGTTTTAAATGTTCTGTTTACTTTGTTAAGTTGCATATTTTTATTTACTTGTTTGATTTTTAAACAGGAGGACCTAGGCTAAAATGTCAAGAGCTCTTAAATTACATCATAGACACAGTGAAAGATTCATCTCACGGTGTTATTTATGGATCTGATTGTAGCAAAATACTGCTGAAAGACATTCTGTCCATGAGGAAATACTGGTGTGAAATATCGCAGCAACAGTGGCTAGGTATGTCTCTCCCTCTTGCCCCCCATTACTGAGTGTTGAACCCAGGCACCGTGCATACTAGAGAAGCACTCTACCACTGAGCTCTTCCTCTTGCCCTAGATATGTCTTGAAGGTTGTTGTGGAGTTTTGTCTAGTTAAATGAAATTTTACTAATTAACATGTTCCCAGTGCCTTGAACCGCCATAATAGTCCCACTGGGAAGTTTGTACTGCTGATGGTACAAATGAATCCAACCACTTTTCTGATATTTTTATTTTTTATTTTTTTAATTTATTTATTTATTTGTGTGTGTGTGTGTGTGTGTGTGTGTGTGTGTGGCCAGCTCAGCCCACCAGGGGGCGGGGCTGGCTGGCATGTGGTGCTGGGGGATTGAACCATGGTCCCTTTGCTTTGCTAAGCTTGTTCTAAGTAGGTGCTTTAGACCACTGAGCCATCTCACCAGCCCCAATTTTTTTTTTTTTTATTTTTTTTATTTTATTTTGTGCGGAACTGGAGATTGAACTCAGACCCTTGCGCTTGCCAGGGAAGCGTTTATTCCACTGAGCCATCTCCCTGGCTTGATATTTTTAGTAATACAGTTAATAACAAGCCACGTGGGACAGTCATACACATGTATCATTAGTAGTTCAAGCCACTTGACAGTAAGACATATAAATTAAAATCATATGAACCTGTGAAAGCAGTCTGTATCACCCAGTTAACTTCACTGTTCAAGATTACTGTAGTGAAATTATATAGTTACAGAATCTGGTCCTTAATTTTTTGCTTTTTTTAGGACTGGGGATATAGCTTGGCAGCATATGTGCCTGCCTGGCAAACACAAGGTCCTGAGTGTGATTCCTGGCACCAGAAAAAAAGAAAAGTTTTCTGTTTTTTGAGGCAAGGTCTAACTGTGCATTCCAGGCTGGCTCAAAGTCATGATGATCCTCCTACTTTAACCTTCCAAGTGCTGGAATTATAGTTGTGCACCACCACTCCCAGCTCAATTTTTATTTATTATTTACTTTCTGAATTATTAAGTCATTATTGATGTTATGTGCCTGTCAGCACCAGAATTACAGATTTAAAAGATTTTATCACTGTCCTCAGGGAGTTGGTAGTCAAGTGCTATAGAAAAATGCAAGGAAATGAAAAGTTGTAATGCCATATGGCAGTGATAGCAAAACCTTTCAGACACCAAGTGCCCAAAATGCAACCTGAAACTTTATTTATCAGAAAGTTCCGGCACTTTTCCTTTGTGCACTGCTGTCCAGTTCTCAGCTACTGGGGTAGTGCACATTGATAAGAGAGGTCACCATTGTCAAGTAACAGATATGTGTGTGTGTGCATGGGTACACAGACTATTGCATTTAAATTGAACCATTATTAATGTAGGAGGGGAAAATCTAAAAGAGAGATATAAAAGTAAAAGCATTCCTATAGTCACAGCATTTGGGACCATGAGGCCAGTCTGGGCTACTTCAAGGCCATCCTGAACTATATGCCAACTCTATCTCAAGAAGGAACATTTTAACTTGAAAGGGATGGAATGGAAATCTAAAGTTTTGGGTAAGTTAAAAGATCAGGCAATTTTTTAGAAAACAGTATGTAGATTCTGTGATTTACCAGCCTCATAGAATGTATAGTAGAAAGGGCTGGCCAAATAGCTCAGCAGATTAAAGTGCCTGCAAGCTGGCCCAGGGGCCCAGGTTCTATCCCGGCCCATGGTGCTGGCCCTGCCCCTGGGGCACGCTGAGATGGCAATTGAGACTGGGCCTGGTGGCACACCTGTAATCTCAGCACTTGGAAGGCTATAAATGGGAGAATCACTACGAGTCCGATGTAGTAGTGAGACCCTGAACACCCTGTAGACCCTTCTCTAAAATATATATAAAAAAAAGGATAGAGAAGAATCTTGCATTTTTGCCAGTTTGTACTTAGAGACTACCAAGGAAGGAAGTTATGATCAGACTGAAACATTTCCGTTTACTGATTTCAGAGGTAGAGCAATTCTGAGAGGGTTTAATGGAAAAAGTAGGATTTGCTGTTGAAGTAATTTTAAGACAGGTATCAAGTTCCAGTGTACTAGTTCTGACAATTTAGAGACTTGGTCTTTCTCATTGAATATTTAGATTAAAATTTCCTAACTAAATTAAAGCATATTTATATTTTTCATTGACAGTTTCTTATTTCATAATGAGATATGAGCCCAAAAAACCCCCCATGAGTTAATCAGTGCCTTTACCTCTCAGTTACACTACACTTTCCATCAGAGCCCTCCTCACCTGGTGAAGTGATTTCTGAGGCGTCATTAGGGGCTGTTGCTCTGAGTGCATGTCAGCTTATGTCCCAAGAACATGGCCCGTGGCACTTTTTGGAGAATAAGCCAGTGATATTTAGAATAATCAGTCAGATGTCTCACTAGAGTGGTTTAGTCATATTAAGTTGGAAGAAAACAGAAACAAAGGTTTTATTCTCTTGTCTCTTTGATGTGATTCTGACCTCTAGTATGTCAAAATCCTCTTTTGATTTTTTAAAACTATTTTTTTTTTAAAAAATGTATTTAGAACAAGGTCTACAGAGTTTCACTATGTAGATTGGATTTGTAGTGATCCTCCTATTCTCAGCCTCCCAAGCACTGGGATTACAGGCATGCACCACCACGCCTAGTCTCAGGGGCTGTCTCAGTGTGCCCCTGGGCTGGGCTGACAGGGCATGCCAGGATCAAACCCCTGCCACTGTGTTCTGCCTAAGCAGGTGCTTTAATCTGCTGAGCTATCTGGCCGGCTCTTGAAACTATGACATAATCAGCCTATTTGCTAAATCATTTTTCTAGTTCTCCAACATTTTCTTCTCTGATGAATATTTTATTGAAGAATTCATGTTGCTGTTCAGAATATGTTTGGTAAGGTTGGTGATTGAAGCCATGATTATGAACATTATCTAGGTTGAATGTAAATATAAAAGTTGAAATCAGCTTACTGATTCTATACAATGCCTTGTTGGGATTTTGATAGGAATTGGATTGAATCTATTGATCTGTTTAGGGTTATCAGGCAGTATAGCTATGTAGAACCTTCCAAACCATAAATGTATGTCTCTGTTTATGTGTAGCTGTTGTTTGTTCGTTCTTGCTTGCTTGCTTGCTTTCTTTGGTATAGGGTCTCTAATGCAGTTCAGACTCATAGTGATCCTCCTGTTTTCAACCTCCCCAGCACTGGGATTTCATGTGTGTGCCACCACACTTGGTCTTGGTGGCCAGCTCAGTGCACCTGGGGATGGGGGACAAGGCTGGTGCAGGATGTGGTACTAGGGATCGAACCCCTGTCCCTGTGCTTTCCTAAGCAGGCACTTAGTCCACTGAGCTATCTTGCCAACCTTTGATTTCTTTATTGTGTGTAATTGTCAGCATATAGATTTTGGTTTGTTTTCTTAGATTTATACTATAGTAGTTTAAAGGAGGAGTTTTTTGTTTGTTTGGGTTTTTTTTGGTGGGGGTGCTCAGGATGCCTTTAGTGAGAGGCCTGGTTTGGCTTGAGGATGAGAGGATCAAACCACAGCATCCTGAGCCTGACTGCCTTGTTTCAGCAGGCACTTAAACACCTGCTGGTGTATAATGGGCAGGCCCCCACTATAGTAGTTTATATCCCTTCTTACATTGCTTTTGGGACTGGGAAACAGATGGAAAAATTTAAGTATTCTACTTGCTATCATTTGTTAGGTTATAAGCAGAGTAAAATCTGAGAACCTTTGTTGTTCATGGCACATTTTACAAAAATTAATCAAGTATCATTAATCACAGCAAAAACTATAGTACACATTTTGTTTTAAGCTTTTTTAGGCCTACATAAGGAACATAAGCTTAAGTTGATTATCTGAGGTTAGGCTTTTAAACTAAAGCTGTCATACTGTACTATCTTAAATACTGTCTGTAGTTGGTGATATTTTAAAGAGATTTTTATACAAAACTAAATGTTGACCAAGTCCTTTTACAGCATTAGATCAAAATAGAGCAATTAAAAATTGTAAAAAATAAGATTTTATTTTTATTATCTTTTTTTTTTTCCTAGAACTGTTCTTTGTGTACTTCCAGCTGTATCTCAAGCCTTCACAAGACATTAATAGAGTTTTAGTGGCTAGAATAATTCATGATGTTACCAAAGGATGCTGTTCACAAACGGATGGATTAAATTCCAAATCTTTAGATTTTTTTTCTGAGGCTATTCAGTATGCAAGGTAATCTAATCTTGTTTTGTTCTATATTGAAATTCCTTTTGATTTTATTGATAAGACCATGTTTTAGATTCTGTAACTAAAAATACTGTTTTTAACACAATTATTTCTACAGATTAAGGAAGCAGTGTGATTATGCCATAGTAGTGTGTAGTATATTATTGACTCGTATCCTTCAACATTTAAAAAATTTTTGATAAATATGGTGTGTGTAAATTCCTGGGGTACTGTGTAATTTTTCAGTACATACATAAAATATGACTGTTGTCTCATTCTGTACAAAAATAAGCTCAAAATACAAACCTTAAAAAAAACAAAAGGAGAAAGAGCCACCTAAATGTTAGATGTAAAACTGTGAACTTAGAAGAAAGCAGGAAAAGCACTTACGGTACTGGTATAAGCAGTGTTTCTTGGGATCATTTTTCTAATTTTTGGTTAAGATTCCAAAAAGCACAGGCAAAACCAGACAAAATAGATTAAATAAGCTATGAATAATTAAAAGGAAACAGCAGAATATGACTGCATCCACAAAATGAGGGGAAATTTTACAAAGTATCCACGTTACAGTAGACTAATAAAAACAATATCAAAGGAGCTTTAAAAGCTCAGTAACAAAGAACCCATAAATAATCTTACATTCAGACAAAAGATATGAATTAGACAGTTCTCAAAAAAAGAATTTCAAATGCCCGCAAATTTATGAAAAGTACTAGCCCCTGTCCTCAGGGAGATCACAGTCAAAATTGCAGTGTGGTGTAGGGGTGGGGATAACTGCAGGAACTAACTGTGCTTGCCTAGCATGGTCATGGCCTGCGATTTGGTCCCTAGCAGTGCAGACAAAGCAAAGCAACTGGCAAGGATTTGGAGAAAAGTGGGAATGCAAAATACCACCTTTTAAAAAGATATTTTAGGGGCCAGGGAGGTAGCTCAGTATAAGTGCCTGCCTGGCAAGCGCAGGGTCCTGAGTAAATCCCCGGTACCACCAAAAAAAAAAAAAATTTTTAGTAGAGCCGATAAATTCCCAAACAATTCAGGTTCCACATACCTTTGATTCTAGCCAGTATGCAGAACATTAAATTATATTCTGAAGTTAAGTCTGCCTGATATTCTAATGAACTGGAAAGTTAAAGATCCACTAAGTAATTTCATTGTCTTAATCTTGAGAATAGAGATAGTTAGCATATTGAGAATTTTAGAAAGATACATTTTGAAAAATCAACATCAAGCCAGCCAGATAGTTCAGTGGATTAAAGCACCTACTTAGGCAGACACAGGGGCCAGGATTCGATGGCCCCCCCCGCCCCGCCCCGTGGGCTGAGAGGGCCTTTTAGACTGGGTGTGGTGGCGCATGCCTATAATTCCAGTGCTTGGGAGGCTGAGAATGGAGAATCACTCAAGCCCAGTCTACATAGTGAGACCCTGTAGACCCTATACTAAATGCATAAAAGAAAAAAATTAGTATCATTCACATGCTATTATTCAGTTTAAAATGTGAAACACTTTATAAATAGTAGGTGTTATAAATCAGCTTTCTGTATTTGTAGGCGGTGTTCGAAAAGCAGGGAGAGCTAACAGTAATCTCTTAAGACCAAATAAGAACTACATTTTTATTGTTATGTGAAGTTATGATTTTTTTAGTTTCTTGAATGGTTTTCAATCTAAAGCTATTGTCTGAAACTTTTTTTTTCTACCCTGTAGCATGTATGCTTGTTGCAACAAGTTGAATTTGTTTTTTGTTGCAGACAAGAAAAAAAATTTGCAGGTCTAAATTATATCTTGGCAGCCCTTATTATCTTCCTCAAGACTTTGGTTGTTAACTTTCGAATGCGAGTGTGTGAACTAGGAGATGCAATTCTTCCTACATTATTGTATATTTGGACTCAGCCTATACTTAATGATTCCTTAAAAGGAGTAATTATTGAATTTTTTCAGTTGCAAATGTCTGTCCATCACCCGGGAGGAGCCAAATCACATGAAAAAGGTATGAAAAAGTTTTGTTTTGAATTTACTTCTTCATTAAGATGTACAAGCTTAAATATAATATTAGTATTCTGTACAAATATATCATATTTCTCTGAATTGCTTTGCTTGATAAGTTATTAATCATTAGAATAGTGTTTATGCGTTTGTATAATTTGAGTCATAACAAATTATATCATGCTTTCACATTTGTTTAATACAATATTATCATGAGAAATAAAAACCTGAGATACTGCCTGTGACTTCCAGTAGCTGGTTATCCATTAACAATTATTTTAGTAAGAGGTGACAAGGATTATTGGGTCAGATGATACGGGGAAAATAAGATCTTACTTATCTACATATTGCTTTTATTAGAAAATAAAATCAATGGACTGAAAAATAGCCAGTCAGATTATTCAGGAACCCAGAAGGTTATGTCTGTATTATTTCCATAGGAGTGTAAGATAGTAAAGCGAACAGCTGCTTCACAGTTACTTTATCTCAGGCCTTTTGCTGGAAAGACCAGAAATGAATCAGTTGAATCAAGTCCTCCCTGATTCCTTTGCATTTTTATTTTACTGGAGTGTTTTGCAGAGATGGTGGAGTTTTTTTCAGTAAATCAGAGCTTCACTGGGTAGGACTAAAGCTAAATGAACTCCTTAATGCTCCATGCTTGTCTTTGGTCTAGTACCAGCCTTTGGACCAAATCATAATGGCTAGTGCAATAATCTAAGACAGTGTGCTGCACTGAGTAATAAGTGCTACAGTAAATGAATACTGTTATAACCATTTTTTAATTAAAAGTAGCTATCTATGCGTCATGGACTCTTCCAGAACACCTATTTAGATATCTGTATAGCCCATAAAAGTACAATACGTGAAAAAATAAAAGTCTTTGTAGTGTTTCATGTTTCACCTACCTCTCACCAGTAGTGTAGATCAGGCATTTATTTTATTTAATTTTATTTTGTCAGTGATATTGTCAGAAAAGGAATTAGTCTTGTTTTAGTTACTTTTGTCTTGTTGCTGGGACAAAATACCTGACACTCAAAAGTAAGGAAGGGGAGGTTTATGTAGCTCAGAGTTCGTAGAGGTTTTAATCCATAATCATCTAGCTCCAAAGCAGGGTTGGCATGGCAGAGCGGCAGCAGTGCGTGGCAACAGAAGACAGCACAAAGCAGTGGTAGCACAAAAGAGAGGGACAAACCTCTTTTCCTCCCTGGGCCGGGTGAGCACTCAGGCCATCTCCTTGCCCTCCTCTTGCACAGGCTCGGGGTGTTTACAAAGCGAGGACCCTGGCCCTCTGCTGCGTCCTTCAACTTCTAAACTTCTCCTTTATCATATCCTGGGTGGTAAACAGCCTCCCTAGGGCAGGTCCTCTACACCCTGGGGTGTAGAACTGCTGAGTCACTTAGTTAAGCTTCTAAACTTCTCAAGTTGACTCAGTGTATCAACCATTGTAGTACTGAATAGGCTAGAACAAAATGTCTAATGTTGATGTACTTTCACAGCCAAATAATTTACTTGGCAGTATGAATGGAATACATATGCAAATTGTATTTTAATTTTTCTTGGATTTTAGGTGCTTATAAATCAGCAAAATGGCAAAGTATTGTATACAACCTATATGATCTGCTAGTGAATGAGATAAGTGATATCGGAAGGAGAGGAAAATACTCTGCAGGACCTCGTAACATTACTGTCAAGGAAAATCTGATTGAATTGATGGCAGATATCTGTCACCAGGTATAGTTGATGTCACATCTGATTTTTCTGAGCTTTAAAAATCTAGGTTATCATGAAAAACTGAAAAATTAGTCTGTATATGTACTGTTCCTCTCAAAATATACTTCTTTGGAATAATTATTTTTAAGATTTGAAATAACTCCTATTTATTTATTTGTTTATTTTATGTATTTGGTACAAGGCCTCAAAATCCAGCACGGACTTATAGTGATCCTCCTATTTTCAGCCTCCCTAGTGCTGGGATTACAGGCATGCACCATCATGCCTAGTCTCGGTGGCCAGCTCAGTGTGCCTGGGGGAGGGGGCAGTGTGGCATGTGGTACTGGGGATCAAACCCAGGTCCCTGCGCTTGTCCAAACAGGCACTTAGTCCCCTGAGCTATCTCACCGGCCCTCCTGGAATAACTCTTTCAAACCGCTTTTAAAAGATAACTTTTGCACATAATGAAAACTAATAATGAGTTTTGACATTCTTCTTAAAAGATCGTTGATAAGAAATAAAATGATTTAAACCTTCATAGATTTTTTAAACTGAACTAAAATTTACATAGAATGAAATTCACACACTATTTTAAAGTGTACCACTAATCTTAGTGTCTTTACTATGTTGTGAAACCATCTCTGCTGTCTAATTTCAGAGGGTTTTATTGTCTCCGGAAGAAACCTTCTCTTAAGTTCTCCACTTTTCACTTAGCCTCTGACATCCATCTTTCAAGTCTATGGATTTACTTGTTTTGGATTTCACTGACATTTAATTTTATGATATGTCCTCTTGTACCTTTGCTTTCCTTCATTTGTCATAATGTTGTACCACAAATCAGTTACTCCTTTTTTGTTGTTGTTGTTGTTCTTTTGTATGACTCCAAACTATTTAAGTTTGTGGATGTACTACTTTTTTCTTAACCATTCATCAATTGATGGCCTAATGTTTCTTTTTTTTTTTT